GGCTTGGGCTGGATTCGAACCCGCCACCTTAGGTGTATGTGGCTGGCGCCTTAGCTGCTTGAGCCACATGCGCCGAGCCAGGGCTGGGATCTTTTGACCAGCCCCTCCCTAGCCAGAGTCAGAGTGTGGGGTTTTTGTGGCCTGCAGTGTCTCCCAGTGTCTCCTCTTCAGTAGATTAGGATTTATTCACAGAGATAGGGCCAGAGTGTGGTGGGAGAAGTACTGGACAGGGAAGTAGGTAGCTTATGGGGGCTAGTCCTAGGTGGACCTATAGATGTGTGACTATGACATATCATTTACCCTCTCTGGACCACACATCTCTGATTTCTCCCATCCTCCAGGGGTCTGACATAATCTAACCTAGTAGGTAGATTACTCCACAAGGTGGAGCTCTTAGTTTATTTTTAAAGTCTACCTTGATGAAGCATTTGTCACATTTTGCCCTAAGAACAAATAGAAGAAGGGGTGTGTTTTGCAACATAATTTCCTGAGTTTTGGGCACATAATGTCCTCACATAATGTTGTTCATAGGTTTGTGGAAACTGTGCCTTTAAGTGAAACAATGTATTAATATAATAAAACCAGTTTTAATATAGGTTAAGTGATATAAACAAGAGTTAAGTTCCTATAGCATACTTCGGTCATAAAAACTAATAAATACCAAAATTCTTATGTTCAAAACTGAAATAAATGTGAACTATATATTCATTTAAGAAAGGTTAATAAGGGTGGCGCCTGTGGCTTAAAAGGGTAGGGCACCGGTCCCATATGCTGGAGGTGGCAGGTTCAAACCCAGCCCTGGCCAAAGAAAAAAAAGAAGAAGAAAATGATTAAAAGAAAATGATTAAATAATAATGAAGAAAGGTTAATAAAAGCAAGTTAAGGTAATTACTTAACAAATTATTCCAGTCAGGGTCACAAGCCGTCAGAGCCTCTCCCAGCAGCTCAGAGCACAAGCTGGGAACCACCCCTGGGCAGGATGTCATCCCCTTGTAGGGCACAGTCACAAGCACTTTCAGAATGGACATTGTAGACATGCCAGTGACTTGAACATGCACATCTTTGGGATGTGGGAAGACACCAGAGTACCCAGAGAAAACCCACATAGAAAGTGGCCCTAGCCAGGAATCGATTCTTTTTCATCATCATTATAGTGACAGGCACAACCCTAAATGAAAGTGTTGTTAGAGGACCTGCTGTATTCCATATACTGACATGGCTTGCTCATTCATTTTAAAAAACATTGAAACTGGGCATGGTGGCTCACACCTGTAATCCTAGCATTCCAACAGGCTGAGGTGGGTGGATCACCTGAACTCAGGAGTTGGAGACCAGCCTAAGCAAAGTGAGACTCCTGTCTCTACTAAAACTAGGAAAACTAGCCAGGTGTTGTGGCGGGTGCCTGCATTCCCATCTACCTGGGAGGCTGAGGGCAGCCTCCTCTAAGGGCGGCAACTTCTCTCTCTCTTCTATTAGTGTCACATACCAATGGTGGAAGAATCAGGGACCATTCATTTTCCCATGTCCCTGATCCGCCACCCCACAGTGGTTTGCTACTGTTAACTTTTTCTTCTCAGTTGAGCCCAAGAGGTTGAGGTTGCTATGAGCTATAGCACTCTACTCAAGGCAGCAGAGTAAAACTTGTCTCAAAAAAAAAAAAAACCAACCCAAAACATTGAGTGCTCTTAAGAAGTCATGAGGACCCATGTTAAGGCCTGTCATGAGTAACACCTGATGCATCCTGCCTGTCACACACAGAGGTGCTGTCCAGAGGGCTGGTCACAGGGAGAAGCACTAAGAAGAAAAAGTTAACAGTAGCAAACCAGTGGTCAGGGACACGGGAAAACAAATGGTCCCTGACCCTCCCACCATTGGTATGTGACACTAATAGAAAGAGAGAGAGCAGTTGCTGCCCTTTGAGGAAGCTGCTATGGCTGGAGTCGGGGCAGGTCTGGAGGGCAAAGGGGCAGGGGCCTGAGCCACAGTATGTGCAAAGCTAGAAGGGGGAGGTAACTGGGAATCCAAGAATAGGTGGGGAGTACAAGGCAGGAATGGAGAATCATGGAAGAGTTGGAAACTGGAGTGTGACATGACCAGATTTATATTTTGAAAAGATCTAACTTGGGGGCTGGGTGCCTTGGCTCATGCCTATAATCCTAGCACTCTGGGAGGCCAACAGGGGTGGATTGCCTAAGCTCAGGAGTTCAAGACTAGCCTGAGCAAGAGTGAGACCCTGTCTCTAAAGACTATCCAGGCATTGTGGCAAAAGCCTGAAATCCCAGGCTGAGGCAAGAGGATTGCTTGAGGCCAAGAGTTTGAGGTTGCTGTGAGCTATGACATCATAGTACTCTACCCAGGGTGACAAGGTGACACTCTGTTTCAAAAAAAAGAATCTAACTGCTGTGAGGAGGATGGCTTAAGAGGGACCAAAGTGGATGTGGAGAAACCTTGGGAGGCTCTGAGAGCAGTTATGCAGCAGAGAGGGGGAAATAGTGATAGAGGTAGAGACAGAGAGGTTTTGAGAGAGACAGGACTTGAACCAGGCTTTGGTGATAGGCTCTGTGTAGAGGGAGAAGGCGTGCCAGCTGGGTCTGGGGTATCCTTGCTTTGTCCTACTGGCCTAGAACAGGTGTATGGGACACTGCTGCTCATCAGAATGGAGACTCCAGAGGAGGACTAGGCTCTGGGGAGATCACCCCACGCTGAACTAGGGTACATTTGGGACATCCTAAGGGAACTGTCAGGAGTTTAGATATGGAGACACCAGTTTGAGGGGTAACTTGCCTCAGAGATTAACAGAAGCTGTGATTAGGTAAGGCAGCCTGGAACGGGTGGAGGGAGGAGGGCAAGGGGCCTGTGACTGCAGCTGGAGAATGCCTCCCAGGAGTCCTCACCCTCACCTACCCCTGCTCGCCCTGTGTTCCCATCTCTTCATCCCACCTTTTGTTCAGGCCTGGCAGCTGCCTGTCGTCAGTGACTCTTGCTGGGCTTTCTTACTTTCAGAGCAATTCCTGGGGTCTGTGGTGGTCTCAACCCCTCTGCCCCCCTCCCCCTACAGGAGTCTGAAAGATACTTGCCCTGTAGGTAGGGGCCGCGTACCCATAGGAGAATGAGCTTTGTAATGGCAGAGCTTATTATTTCTCAGATGTCCCATGAAGGTTCATACCTTAGTATCTGTGCCTCTGCCTGGAATGCCCTTCTCTTCCCTTACCCTGTTTGTGTGGCGAACACCTGCTTGTCTTTCAAAACCCATTTCTCAGTTTTCCCCAAGCCGGTGTAACAGTCTCCACATCTGCACAGGGTCTGTATCCAAACAACCTTGCCATCTCCACACATAACTGGTAGCCTAACTCAGAGCAGACTTTTTGTTGTTGGCACACTAAATCAGATTGCTCTTTCTTCCCCTCAGTTCATTCCCAGCACTGACCCTTTCCAGAAGGCTCTGAAAGAAGAAGAGAAACGCCGAAAGAAGGAGGAGAAACGTAAAGAAATTAGAAAAGGCCCAAGGATCTCAAGATCTCAGTCTGAGTTGTAATCTTGGAGCAGCTCAGGGCTCAAGGGTGCCAGGAGAAGACCAGTGAGGAGGAAGAGGAGGCAGAGGTATGGCCGTGGCATAGCAGCATCGGTGCTGGTGCTTGGCACCACCCCTTCCAGATGCAGAGGCCATATCCGCTCAGGTCCCTGGAGCCAGGTCTGAGCCTCGGCTGAAAGGACTGAACCTTAGAGGGCTGGATTTCCTTATAGGGGCCTTCATAGGACCCTGTGCTGCAGACCTGACCCTCTGGAGACTGCTGGGAGAGGGAGGAGGGGATCCTGGCCCCAACCCTCCTGGTGGGTCAGGACTGCTGGCCAGCTGGCTAGCACCCTTTATGGGAAAGCGGCAGAACCAGGTTCTGAGCTACAAGTGAAGGTGCCACCACTACTGCGGGCCCCACCGTGTCACTGAGCTGCCCAGCACAGATCCCAGTCCCTCTACAGAGATATAATAAAAGCCAGCAAACCCTTTGCACTGATCGAGGCTGGTGAGGAGGCTGTGAGGGGACCAGGGCCTTTCAGGGATGTAGAAACCAGCTTAGAGGATGTTTCTGCCTCATGAGGAGAAGTTGCAGGCACCAGCAGGGCAGAGAAACTGGGCTTGGCTTAGGCTTCCTGTTCCCACCTCAGCACTGCCCTTGACAAAGGATCAGAGTTGAGAAGGGACTTGGAAGTGTCTTGGGAGGGTGTTTAGCCCAAGAAGACCTTGGAGCAACATGATCTCTGTCCTCAGGTATCTGGGGACAGTCATTGAGCAGGCACAGGGAAGTGTCAACTTGTCCTCCCTGGCAGTACTGGAGGACACTTGACCTGAAGGTAGGGGGATGGTAGGGGAGGACTGCAGTCCTGCAGGAGGCCATGCTTCATAATGGCAGGAGCTGCATTGGTCAGAGTAGACCAGTCAGACAGTGAGCTTCCCATCTCAAGAGGTGTATGAGCAGAGATGTGTGGCCCAGGCCAAATTAGATTTATTAGGGGCAGTTAAGCCCTAGTGGAAGGTGTGGTTTCTGTGCACTGGGTGGGGGCAGATGCCCTTCAGTCAAGCCTGTAGAGGAGGGAGAAGTTTAGTGGAAATTCTAGCTCTGCCTCTTTGACCTTGCATAGCCAGAGTTTGCCTCTTTTTTTTTTTTTTTTTTTTTGAGACAGAGCCTCAAGCTGTCCCCCTGGGTAGAGTGCCGAGGCATTACAGCTCACAGCAACCTCCAACTCCTGGGCTCAAGCGAGTCTCCTGCCTCCGCCTCCCAAGTAGCTGGGACCACAGGCACCCGCCACAACGCCCGGCTATTTTTTTTTTTTTTTTGGTTGCAGCCGTCATTGTTGTTTGGCGGGTCCAGGCTGGGGATTCGAACCCGCCACCTTAGGTGTATGTGGCTGGCGCCTTAGCCGGTTAAGCTATAGGCGCCGAGCCAGAGAGTTTGCCTCTTAAAGAAACAGAGACACACAACCATCCTGGATGCACCCCCTGACCCCACCCCTATTCCACTAACAGAGCCCAGGCAAGACCTCAGTCTTTTTTTTTTTTTTAATTTAGCAGGCCCAGGCCAGGTTAGAACCCACCAGCCCCAGAGCATGTGGCCAGTGCTCTAATCATTGAGGTGTAAGCACCCAGCCAAGACTTCAGTCTTAGCCCATCAGAGTTGTTAAGCAATCCTGGCCCACCCCTTCTCTTCCCTTCCCTTCTCTTCTCTTTCCTTCCCTTCCCTGTGCTATGGCTTCATTGGCAAAATGAATTTGATGGTGTCTGAACCTGTTCAGCCCTGCCCTGTTTCTCTGAGGCTGGCCTCCCCAGCTTTAGGGTGGCCTCATGGAAGGGCCCAGAACATCCTGCATCTCATCAGTTACTCAGAGGGTAAGAAGCAGCTGGAAGAGAGCTGGGAAGAAGCCTGGAGAAGTTTTCCCATCAGAACTTCCCACCAGCCACCTGGTCCCCTTTACTGGGCCGTGGAGGCAGGGCCAGGTGGCAGGATTGGCTCCATACCCAGCCCTGTCCTCCTGAGCTGTGTGACCCCAGTCACATTTCCTTTTTTTTTTTTTTTTTAGACAGAGCCTTAAGCTGTCTTTCTGGGGAGAGTGTCATGGCATCACAGCCTCATCACAGTAATCTCCAACTCCTGGGCTCAAGTGATTCTCCTGCCTCCGCCTCCCAAGTAGCTAGGACTACAGACACCTGCCACAACACCTGGCTATTTTTGGCATCATTGTTGGTTGGCGGGCCCTGGGCTGGATTCAAACCTGCCAGCTCAGGTGTATGTGGCTGATGCCTTAGCTGCTTGAGCCACAGGTGCCCAGCTGACCCCAGTCACATTTCTTTGAGGTTCACATGAGATGGTGGACACTAGAGTTTGTGAACTAAAAGGCTATGCCATGGGAAAGGGTCAGACTCATGGGATCAGCTATTTAACCTGTCCTGGTGCAGAGCGAGGTTCAGGACCAGGCCCTGGGCTCTTTCTGTCCTTCATACTAGAGAACATGGTTGCTGACTCAGCAGGGAAGGTGCTTAGTTTCCCCCTTCACTGGAGGAAAACCTAAGAGCCAAGTCTGCTTGACAGTGAGCCTGGCTTTCCTGGAGAGGCAAAAAGGTTAAAAGATACTTCAGGACAGTGCAGAGGCAAGGAGGTTAAAAGATACTTGAGGACTGTGCATTTGGCTAGGAGTCCTACTGGATGACTTTTAGGGGGCTCTGTCACTAATAGGATTTTTTTTTTTTTTTTTGCAGTTTTTGGCCGGGGCTGGGTTTGAACCCGCCACCTCCGGCATATGGGGCTGGCGCCTTACTCCTTTGTGCCACAGGTGCTGCCCACTAGTAGGATTTTTATAATTTGAAGTAGAGCTGGGGGACTGCACAGCAATGAGGGAGGCAGCCTATAGTGGTGGGAAGACTTGGGCAATTTGGGACTAGCATAGACTGTCTCTTGATCGCTATTGTCATCAGAACCATGCACTTCTCAGATCCTTGGGTTCTCCATCTCAGAATGCCCAAGTGGTTGAAAGGAAAAGGGCCTATTGTTTTTTGTGTGTTTTTTTGAGACAGAGTCTCAATTTATCACCCTCGGTAGAGTGCTGTCGTCACAGCTCACAGCAACCTCCAATTCCTGGGCTTAAGCAATTCTCTTGCCTCAGCCTCCTGAGAATCTGAGACTACTGGCACCCACCACAATGCCTGGCCATTTTTTGTTTTGCAGTTTGGCCGGGGCCGGGTTTGAATCCATTGCCCTTGGTATATGGGGCTGGTGCCCTACCCGCTGAGCTACAGGAGCCGCCCTGTTGTTTTTTGTTGCTGTTGTTTTTTTCCTGAGACAGTCTCCTCTGTCATCCCAGGCTAGAGTGCCATGGCATCATGGCTAACAGCAACTTCAAACTCCTGGGCTCGAGTGATCCTCCTGCCTCACCTTCCTGTGTAGCTGGGACTATAGGAGCCCACCACAATGCCCAGTTATTTTTTCTGTTTTTAGTAGAGATAGGGTCTTGCTTTTGATCAGGCTAGTCTGGAACTCCCGAGGTCAAGCAGTCTACTTGCTCGGATCACAGGTGTGAGCTATTGTGCCTGGCCATTAAAGCCTATTTATAGGCAGAAAGTACCTGAAATTTTAAGTGACTTCTTTTTTTTTTTTTTT